ATATATATCTTTATATATATATAAATAGGACACAACCATCACGCGGTCGGTTAAAATTACAACTAAACATTGTTTTTAAACACCAGAGTATGAGCAAATTTGGTATACAACAGTTTAGTTTGTAATTAACAGAGATTATGAAAATATTTATAATATTTTGGGTATATAAATGATTCCATAGAAAGATTCAATTCTTTTAAAATTACAAGGGTTAAGCAATCTAGTAAAATGGTATTATGGTGAGATAAAGGTTATTCAATTGACAGTTGCTGGTTGATTGATAATAAATAAGATGGGATAACGAATGATTAGAGCCTCAGGAGAAGCAGTAGCAGATTCTGTGATTAAATGTTGTTAATAAAAAGTTCTAAAAAAATTTAAAAAACAGGGAGCTCTGACCCTGCAGCCCACAAATCAGACCGGCCCACCGGGAAATCTCCACACCCTCCTGACTGGCCATTCCGGGCCTGATTAGAGGTTTGTAAACTGACTAGGAAGATTGCATGTTATGCAAAAACCAGGTTGGAAAACCAATGCAAGACAAAAAAAACAATTTGCAAACTAAATTTTAAATAGATGACAAGCTAAAAGCTAACAGTAAAATATAAATTAGAAGGAAAAAATAACTAGGATGGAACCAATTTAGAAAAAAATAAAATAAAATGCTATCATTAAAAAAAAAAAAAAAGACTAGTTGAATCCCTGAAAAGCAAGTGAAGGGGTGGTTGAGGCTGGGTGGTTCAATCGCCCTCCGATGCAAGAGTTGAGGGTTCAATTCCACCATTAGTCACATGCTGATGTGTCCCTGGGCAAAACACTGAACCCCTCATTGCCTCAAATGTGTGTCCCATTGGTGTCACAACTTAACCATCAGTGCCTACCTTTCATGGTGGCCGGTGGTCAGAAATAATAATTAGATGGAGAGGGTAAGTGAGAGGGATAGGGAACAAGTCCCTAAATAGCCACAGTCTTGATTAAATATAATTTCATTCCATTTGAAATTAAACAAAGCACCCAAAGGAGCAGTAGATGTCTAAAATCAACTAAAAGTCTAGGATCTGACAGGTTGAGAACCATAATCCCTCATCAAGATTGTAACCATCCAAGTCAACAACATTTTTAATGGAAAAATACAAGTAAGACTTTGTTTAATTCTGATTAGTTTGTCATTTCATAAAGCCAGTTCAGAAACATAAGGCATGTTGACGCCTACAGTGTAAAGTGCAAGTTGAAGTTTTATTTAAAACTGAATTAAAGAGATTCAAACATAATACAATTAAATGCAGTAAAGTTATCATTATACAGTAAATCAAATAAGTCCAGTTGTTAAAAAAAGATCACTATGCTATAAGTCAATTAGTTACTTTTGTATTATGACAATTTTACAATATTGTAGAGGGATTTGTTGATCGGATATCTATATATTTTATTAGTTATGAGTTAAGCTCATAATACATGCATTCTTTATGCAAATAATCTCGTTTTGTGAGGACCCCCTCTTGGAGAGGAAAATCAGTCTCTAAAACCCTCAAATTAAATGTAAACTGAAACGTGAATTTTTTTCCCCGTGTTTAGAGGGGGCATCAAATCAGTTAATACACACAGATATGACAAAATAATCACACTTTTATTGAATTTTATGTATTTTATTACAAAAATAATATTCTAATGTATATAGCTGATGAAGATTATTCATACAAATTAATACACATATTAATAACAAAATTTCCTTGTGTCAAAGATTATTTGATTATTAAATTCAGTGTAACTTTTTTTATAAAAGGCAGAACCTTGGACTGGTTTGTTGGGTGTAGTTAAAGTTGTGTCTAAATTAACTGTGGTGTATCTAAATTAATATTATTGTGAATCTTTGATCACCAGAAAGGCATTAAGTTCTCTTGTCTCACCAGAACAAGCTGTCAGAATGTTCCACAACTGCTTAAAATGATACCAGCAAGGCCTGAGATGCTCCGGTGACTGAAAGGCGGATTGTGTCCTCAAAAGTCACCGATCACCGTTGAAGGGACGAAGGTCCAGCCACTGGCTCTGAAGTCAGCTGGGATTTATCAATCTGTGGTGCTATGGCTCTGGTTAGGTCAGGTTTCTCTCGTCCTAAGACGTTTGCAGACCAGGCTGCTTCTCTCCCGTTCCCGTCCTTCCTAGGATATCTCACTAGGAGGATGCGTCTTTCTCTGGAGTTTTGCTCGAAGTTCCTTCAAGTAGGAAGAGCGGTGAAGTGTAATGTAGAAGTGGTGTAGAGAAAGAGAGGTGAAATGTCTGTCTGGGTGTTACAGATTGACTTAGGACCTCCCACCGGACGAGATATGGTTCATAAACTCTGTAATGTTTTATATAAAATAACAGTCCATTTTAGTTGTCTGCCTTTTAAAAAGCCACACTTGTTTTAAAAGGAGAAAAATAAACATGATTATCTTAGAGATGTTACTTTAAACAGACATTTTCAATAACAAACATTCAGTTCTGAAACTGTGGAAATCACCTGCAATGTTTGTCAAATAGGTGTCGCTGTTCATCTCCTGAAAGGGAATGTCATTCTGAAATAAAGGCCCGTCTTATGCGTTAATCTGCATGGGAACCATACTGGGAGTAGTACTCCTTTTCTGATGATAAAAGTTCCTCTCAGCAGATGTTTCACTTCAAGGTCGTTGAAGTACAAGCTCACATTAAGACGATCTGTCCGTTTCGTTGGAAATGAGTTCACATGGAAAGTGAAGTTAACACAATGACAGTTTTTTCATTACATTAGATTAGTGTCAACTAAGGAGTTTGTAAGCTGAGTTTAACACCTGTAAAATAAAGTCTGTTCATTCCCAAGGGAATAAATGCATCTTGTTTTAACAATTTCAAACACAACACATGAATGATGTTTGCTTTGAGATGTGGTGGTGTTCCCCTACAATATCTTATCCTTAAGTAAAAGACAGAAAGGTGTATGTGTATGACGTGACTATCATACGTCACAAAAATCTTTACAAATTATGAATATCTTTGATGCATTGAGAGGGAAATTTAAAAAGAGACAAAACAAACAAGATTTTCCATACAGCAGAAATTACAGTATGTCCACATGGACTAATTAAAAGATCAGATGGTGTGGGCATCTTGAATTGAACCTGATGCACAGTAGAAGTTTATAAGAACTCATTTACATCCAGGTAAAATTAACATTAGGAATGGAGGTTTGGACTCTCTTCATTGCTCTGAAATTAATGAGTTTGTCATGTGTGATTGAAGTTGTGGTATTAGCTGGATCTCTGAGTAGTCTCAAACAAAGCAATGAGTCTAGAGATGGTCTGACTAGTGCTGGAGTCAGTACAGAGACGTCAATGATAAAATGTACCCTGCAGGGTACCCCTCGATTGCCTGCATTCTTAATGGATGGTGATTTTGTTATTGGAGGTACTTTCTTCATTCACTTCAAAGTACAAACGGTACTTAATAACTACATCACTAAACCTGAACCTGCCAGATGCACAGGGAGGTAAGATGGGGAAGTGGAGGGAAATAATACAATCTGTGATGTTTGGATTTTTTTTTTTAACTGCGTTTTACAATTAGAAAACATGATTTCTTCTATGTGTTTCTAACAACAAACCTATGTTGAAATGAGCATCTTATTTAAAAAATATATTTTAAAGGATATGGCGTCATTTTCATTAAATTTAAATAAATGAAGATTAGAATTCACATTAAATCCCTTTGAAAAATGATTGGATTTTTCACTTTATATACATATAAAAAAATTTTTTTTGGGGGGGGGCAAACCTAGAATTTGATACTATTAATTAATATCGAAGTGTCAGTTGCTCATTTTTAAATTGAAGACATTCTGTTTAGTATACTATTTGTTTATACACGTTGTTCTATGTATTTTAATTAAGATTTATCTTTAAGTATTATTGCTCTAATATGAAAAACATCAGAAATGTCTTTTATCAATCTGTACAGCTTTAATGCCCGGGATCTACGCTTCTCTCGAACAATGATCTTTGCTATCAAGGAGATAAACAACAGCACAGAGCTTCTGCCAGACATCAAACTTGGATATCAGATCTATGATACTTGTGCCTCAGGGCTTGTAGCAGCACATGTGGCCTTTCAATTATCAAATGGTCAGGACCCTGTGTTTTACAAAGGCAGCAGTTGTTCACAAATGGGGATGGTGACGGCTGTTGTTGGAGACTCTGGATCTACCTCATCCATCAGCATGGCACGCATCATTGGACCATTCAACATTCCTCAAGTAGGTAATCGCATTTAGTGTAAAAAAAATGATATATCTGGATTGTTAGTGTTTAAATAATATTTGTTGATGCTAGAAAACAATGCAGTGTTTTGTTTTTATTATTTTTAGGTGAGCCATTTTGCCACTTGTGCCTGCCTGTCAGATAAGCAGCAGTACCCAACATTTTTCAGAACAATTCCCAGTGATCAGTTCCAGGCTGATGCTCTGGCCAAGCTGGTAAAACACTATGGCTGGACTTGGATTGGTGCTGTTCGCTCAGACTCAGATTATGGAAATTATGGAATGGCGTCTTTTCTTGATGCAGTGCAAAAAGAGGGTATCTGTGTGGAGTACTCTGAATCCTTCTTTCGAACTGACCCACGCAGCAAGATTAAAAAAGTAGCTGATGTTATCCGGAGGTGTTTACATCACTGCTCTTTTTATGTGTTCTGTGTGTTTAATTTTAAAAACTTGAAACAAAAAAAATTGTATAACAGTAAATTATTTTTAATTAATTTATTACTTTAATTCATGTATTGATTTCAAAACATTTAAATCAAACCCCAATAATCAACAATTGGGTTGTACAGATTTTTTAGTCATAAAAATGAGTTACATATAATTTAAATGTGGTATAAAATAGTTAAGCCAATAAATTAATTTATGTTGGCAGGTCGACAGCGCTGGTTGTTGTAGCTTTTGTTGCTGCAGGAGATATGATTATCCTGTTACAAGAGCTGGCTCTGGAGCCTACAGCACCTCGACAGTGGATAGGAACTGAGGGCTGGATAACTGACCCACTCTTGATGAGCTTTAGTTTCTGTGCAGGGGCCATCGGATTTGGCATTCAGCGATCTGTCATTCCAGGACTGAAAGATTTCCTGCTGGATCTCTCTCCCACTGAAGTAGCTACCTCCTCAGTCCTGACTGAGTTCTGGGAGGATGCATTTAATTGCAGCCTGACGAAAAGTGAGAAGGTTTTATTTAGCAGACACATTTATGTGTATTTAAAGCTGAATAAAAATAACATGGACAAACACAACTGTCGCTTTCACAATTTGAAAGTTGTGTAAATTTGTGAAGCTCTGAGTACATAGAGTTACTTTTATTAATGTGGTTTATTTTTACAGATCAAACAATCTTTGTATGTCTTTATGTGTCTGTAGATGCAGATCCAGAAAAGAAAGTCTGTGATGGAAATGAAAACATAAAAACACTCAAAAGTCCGTACACTGAAACATCTCAACTAAGAGCTTCTAACATGGTGTACAAGGCTGTTTATGCAATAGCTCATGCTATTCACAATACATTGTGTCACAAAAGAAATTTCACCACTCAGTGTGACAGAAATATCAGACTGGAGTACAAACAGGTTATTTAAAAAAGTATATTTTTGATACTTTGTAAGAAAATGATTTATGTAACTAACTGTGGTTATCATTATTATTAGTATGCATTTCCTCTTTTTTTTTTTTTTTACAGGTTTTTACTGCACTACAAAAAGTCAACTTTACCCGCAATGGTTATCCTGTGTCATTTGATGCTAATGGGGATCCTGTGGCTTTTTATGAGCTGATCAACTGGCAAATGAGTGAGAGTGGAGATGTAGAGTTGATAACAGTAGGAAATTATGATGCATCACTTCCAAAAGGCCATGAGTTTCAGATTAAAAGGAACATATTTTGGGTTGAAGGTCGCACACAAGTACAGTAATTGATTTCATTTGAACAATTTAATATAGTTAGAGCATGGCAAATATTTTGTCACATCTACTTTGTAAAAACTAATAAAATGTCATTTGACTGTGCCTCTGTGACAGGTTCCAGTGTCTGTGTGTTCACAGAGTTGTCCTCAAGGAACACGTAAAGTTTTGCAAAAAGGAAAACCTAAATGTTGCTATGATTGTGTCCCATGTCCTGAAGGAGAAATCAGTAATACAACAGGTAACATTCCATAATTTTGGATTATTTTGAAGATCAGTTTTATAATAGCATTAATCTTGTGATTTTAATATGTTTTTTTTAGATTCTTTGGATTGCTTTCCATGTACCAATGAATTCTGGCCTAATACAGAAAGAAATGCTTGTTTCCCCAAACCTGTAGAGTTTCTGTCCTTTGATGAAGTCCTGTCAATCATCCTGGCTGCACTGTCTGTTACTGGGGCCTGTCTGGCCATCACAACAACAGTTATTTTCTTTTGTCACAGAACAACTCCTATTGTCAAAGCCAACAACTCTGAGCTAAGCTTCATGTTGCTCTTCTCTCTGACTCTGTGTTTTTTATGTTCAGTAACTTTCATCGGAGTTCCCTCTGAGTGGTCCTGCATGCTGCGACACACAGCTTTTGGGATCACCTTTGTTCTTTGTATTTCATGTGTTCTAGGGAAAACTGTAGTGGTTTTAATGGCCTTCAAAGCTACACTTCCAGGTAGTAATGCAATGAAATGGTTTGGGCCTCCACAGCAAAGAATGACTGTAGTGTTTTTCACATTTATTCAAGTTTTAATTTGTACAATTTGGTTGGTTCTCAGTCCTCCTTTCCCAATGAAAAATCTGACTACATACAAGGAGAAGATCATCCTGGAATGTGCATTAGGCTCTGCTGTTGGTTTCTGGGCTGTGCTCGGGTACATTGGACTGCTGGCTGTGTTTTGCTTTGTGTTAGCTGTTCTAGCTCGGAAACTACCTGATAATTTTAATGAAGCCAAGATGATAACCTTCAGCATGCTGATCTTCTGTGCAGTATGGATCACCTTCATCCCAGCATACGTCAGCTCTCCTGGAAAGTTTACTGTGGCTGTGGAGATATTTGCTATTCTGGCCTCCAGTTTTGGACTGATACTGTGTATATTTGCTCCAAAGTGTTTCATCATATTGTTTCAACCTGAGAAGAACACCAAGAAATACTTAATGAACAAAATTTAATAGCTGAAAATGAGAGATTTTAAAACAAAATTAACAGTTCTATGGCAACTGAAATATTGCAGTTGAACATTTATTTTTTTTTCTTTTCCAGATATTTTGTACACCTATCTATAAACTAATCAAATATAGAAATACATATTTTTGAACTGAAATCCATTAATGTCAAGTCTGTTTCTTGTTTTTTTTCAATGGCATTTTTCTCTTTAGAAGTTGATAAATAAAATCTTTGTTATTTTTTTTTTCTTTCCTGAAACAATCTGGGTTTGTCTTTTTCTGCTTAAATTAACACAAGATCATGCAGTAAGACAATATTGTGATGTGCTTGGACAAGACTCATCAGAGGAGACAAAGAGACTAATCAGGGACAGCTGTGTGCAATCAATAGAGGAGCAGCTCACTGAATAAAAGTCTCTCAAACAGACTGTGGGTACAGCTGTTAAGCTATCGAAAGCCATCATGGTAGGATGAGGAAGGAGTGCAGACATGCTTTCTATTTCATATAGGCTTCGCCCTTTAAGACTGTCGCTAGTGGGTTTATCCCTAGACGCTCAGCACAGCACTAAAACTTTAGTCCATGCCCACCTGCTGTGTGTGGGCCTCACCCCCAGTCCGTACAAATTACGGTGAGACCGGGTAATCGGCTCCCATTTTTTCTTCAGCCAGCTAGCTAGCACTGTCAGAAGAACGAAGAAGGAAAAGTTGTCCAGCTTTGACCGGAACAACTTTTGCTAAGGATGCCTGGGTCTCCGCCACGCCAACCCTTGCCATCTCGGTGAGCTCTTCCTCCCCAAGGAGAAGTAGACAAGCAGCCTTGTTCAAGATGAGCGCCGAGGAATGCCTTTCCGTGGTGGGCCGCTACTTCCGTGGAGGGCTGCTACCCGCTGGACAATAAGATCAACTGCTTATATAAGACTGTTTCCCATCAGAACTGTTTTAGCAACTAGAGAGTTTATGTCAAGCTGACTTAAGAAGAATTTGTTTTTCTCAAGTGTTTTCCTAAAATGGGAAAAGACTGATATGTGTTATAAAGCCTTCTGACTTCTGACGTCAATGAAAGGTATAAATAAGAACAGAAATATGTTGAGAGAGGGGTTCTGTCTTTTGAGGTCTCGAGGTATTCTGGCTGTTCCATCTTAGAGGTAAAGCTTCAAATAAAACCCCCATTTTGCTGTCAAACAGAACCAAGGTGTCTACTGTTTTATTTAATGAACCCAAAAGTATTTAATGTAGATGCCACTACAATGGCAGTAAAGGATTTTTTATTTATTTTTTTAGTCTGGTTGACGTTCATGAGAAACATGACACAACACAAATGCGTGCTCGCTCTCCAAACACTACTTAGAGTGGCAGCGAGTGTGTTCCCTGGACAGAAGAATGGACCATCTGATCAGAAGGGGTTACATGCTGCAGTTCGCAGCTCAACCCCCACCTTTCAGAGGGATTATAGAGACGGTTCTGTCTTCTCCAGAACAGAGCTTGTCTCTTCAGTCAGAAATTCAGCAATTTCTGACGTAAAACGTGATTTACAGAGTTCACAACGGAGAGGAAAATACTTTTTTTTCCCCTGCCACTACTTCCTGGTTCTAATAAAAAAAAAAACGGAGGGATGAGATCCATTTTCGACCTGTTCATGTTTATCAATTCGATCATGTGGAGACAATGAGACAATTCCCCATGGTGACAAACAGCTGCTGGAGAACTTCACCAGAACGACTGGTTTTCACCTCCATAGATCTGAAGAGCACATATTTTCACATTTCCATCATTCTGAAACACCCCACGCACGTTCTTGAAATGCGTGGAGACGGCTCTGCAGTTGTTACACATGGCAGGAATGAGAAATCTTTTTATCTGGACGATCTGCTCTTATTAGCTCAGCCCAGTTAGAAAGCTGTCGCACAGACCAAAACGCTAGTGTTACACCTGCTAAACCTGGGGTTTCTATAAACTGGGAAAAACTTCCGTTCGCCCGTCCCAGATGATTGTTTATCTGGAAGTGGACCTAAACTCCACTACAATGAGAGCCGTTTATCACAGCTGAGAGCCGAAGCTCTGTCAGCTCAGCTCCGCTGTGTCAATTCCAGCTACGCCGTGTCAAACTCTGCAGCATAGTGACAGTCTGCCTGTCATGCGATGCCTGGGACGATGTCAGCGGCCCACATTGTGGTTCAGCTGGGCCTATTTCACATGAGACACCTTCAGAGATGGTTCACCTCCCTGCGCATAGATCCTGTGCGCCAGAAGAGGTGGATTATCTTTGTGCCCCCCCTCCATGAGATCTGATCTGAATCACTGGGGAAACCACCTTATTATGTCAGAGGGAGTTCCCATCAGCAGGCCTACGTCACACATCTCAGTTTTTCACAGACGCGTTCCTGTCAAGCTGGGAGGAATGTGTCTGTCCTAAGCAGTGGGAGCACAGTGGCTGGACCACGTCACTTTAGATAATGTGCTAGAATGTTTTTCACGGTCCGGAACGTGACTCAGCATTTTGCCCCTGCTGTGGGATCAGCATTTTCTGATCCACACAGACAACAAGGTGATGGCAGTTTACATAAACCGTCTTGAAAAAAAATGTATTTGGGTAACTGAAGCTCATAAGAACCTCTATAAAACTAATTATCTAATTAAAAATGTCCATGCTCAATAATCCAGGTATACAATCCAACAATTTTCAGTCGGATCATTTGGACAGTTTTTTTTTTTTTCTGAAACTTTTCACCTTCCATCCAGAAGGTTTCATCAGTCAAGGAAACACAAAACTGATTCTTCCCCTCAACAGCTTACTCCAAAGTGGAACAAACCACTAATTATCTACTTCTTCTGCCGATCCTTAAGCAGGGCATTGCTAGATGGCAACCTCTACTTCACAATCTTGGGAGCAGAATAAACTTGGTAAAATCAATATCCTACCTAAATTTCTATACCTTTTTTTCAGAATCTGCCAATATTAATAACCAAAAAAACATAGACATGGGTAGATGGGGTGCCTGAGGCTGCAGCATAATGAGAGGCACTGCCTTTTTTGTTAGATAAGGAAAAGGGAACATGAGGAAACAGGAGGTAAAAAATTTTTTTTTTAAATCTCACTCTGTGTCCCTAACAGGACACAGTGTGAAGTTGCATAAAAAACACAAAGCACAAAAAATCAACATAAAGATGACATCAGACATATGCATGTGGATTGGGTGAGGGTAAAGTAGAAGGGGGCGCTCCCAGCACAAGCCACTCAAGAGAGCGTCGCAGCCACCTGGTGCCTCGCATCCAACCTAGGTTACCGCACCTATGTGGCAAAAGAAGGGAGACCAGTGAAGGAGGTGAGTTGAGGGGAGTGTTTATAGCTGTGCGAGTGAGTGTATGCATGTGTACATTTGTAAGTCTGTCAAAACTGTTCCAGATAGCGCCCCCAGCCATATCCCATGATAAGTGGTGGTGCATTGTTTATCAGCCTGCCTCAGTAGAGCTCTGACACAGGTCCACAGATGTCCTTGGGGGAAGGGAATGGGTAGTAGGAGCAGAACATCTTGTTCGCATAACATCCAGGATAATATGAGATAGTCAATCTTCCAAGACCGACACGGGGGAGTCAGATTCAGATAACAACAGTTGTTTTGGGTCAGGCTGACTCCGTTAATTTCTTGTTTACATTATAGTCTCACTGGTACACTTCAATGGAGACTCCAAACAACCAAATTCTGTGGTCAGTACTTACTGAGCCAAGTTTGTAAATTATCCAAGATCAATTCCTTCCTACCAGCGAGATTCAGGAGTCACAAGAACCCTGCAGTTCTCAGCAAGAATCGTGTCCAGCTTACGGCTCAGCTCACACAGCATTTGAGTCTGAGTGTTCACAACATGGTGCATTCACTCACACAGGCCAGGCAGCTTCACAATGGCTAGAACAGCTGCTGACGTTTTTCAAATTTGTCGATATGCAATGAAACCACCAATTCCAAACAGAAAAGATCCTGTTATCATAAATCCAATTATGTACACATCTTCAACATCTTCGACCGACAATATGGACAGACATGATCTTCCACTACCTCCAGGAATCCATCGTGTATCCAGCTGCAAGTATCCCGTCAGGGCAGGAGGACTCTACTTTGCCCTGTCTTCTCACTGAGAAAATTTGATCAATTGTGTTGAGAGACTAGCTGATCAGATCTATAAATTACAATTCAAAATATATGCAAAAAGAGGTTCCAAAAGGGTCACAGGACAAAGAGCAGAAGCAGGGAAAGTTGCAGGGAAAGTTGCAGGAGGAAAAAGTGTCCGCCTTCACAGAATGCAAGAAGAAAAAAAAAAAAGTTTGGCTACTAATCACTAGAATATATGACTTTTAGTTGAATGTATCCATCCAGGGAAAACATTCCCAACTCACTCTTTCCGGATCATTATACTGGACAGGTTTTAAACACAATACCATCCCAAGCCATCCCTCTTTTCTCAAAAAGCATTGTTGACCATTCATCTGTTCGCCACGTGGACCTTACCAAAAAGAACCAAATGCTGTTCCAAACCTTTGATGTCCTATCGGTGAGTAAAACCACAGAGACTTCAGACAAATCTGTAGAGTCACTGTCCCCTGAGCTACAGACTTCAGTGTGATCACAGCTCGAACAAGTAGTAGCCCAGGAGACACTCACCAATGGTGAAAAAGATAAAATGTTGCCAAGTTCTTCTCAAATACGAAGTTTCCTTTTCTGTCAACTCTCTAGACTGTGGTTTGAGTTGAATCCACACAGTCTACATAACAACTCCATCTAACTCACTCCCTAAATATGTTTGACAATACAAGATTCCTTTGGTGGCATATGAGCCTATCCAAGACGTCATTGACAATCTTGAAAGAAACATAATCAGGCCATGTAACTGCACCTACTCTGCACCTTTATGGCATGTCCTTAAACCTAATGGAAAATGGAGACTCACCATCGACTACCAAAAACTGAACCAACAGGTTCCTCTTTTCTGGTGGCCGATGACGCAACTCTAAT